GACCCAGCCCAGACTCGGACTCGGACTCCGCCTCTGACGGGGAGGAGGAGGACAGGCAGAGGGAGGAGGCCAGCGGTGGCCAGAGGCCCTCGGCCCCCTGCCCTGCTCTGGTGCCCCCCACGGACTCCTTGGGCCCTGGGGACAGGAGCCCCCCAAGCAGCCCCTCCTCCCACACTGAGCAACGTATTTCTGTGACCAGCCCAGGCCGAGGTCACAAGGTGTTTGTGGTGACCCGGGTGGAGAGTCCACCGGAAAGGGCAGAGCCTCCTGCTCCCCCAGCCTTGGTCTCCCTGCCCTCCTCACCTCCACCTTCCCCACCTGCCTCACCGACCCTACCACCAGCTGAGGCCACTGGCACCCAGGACCCAGGGTCGTCTGATCCTCAGCCCCAGCTGGAGCTGCCTCAGTCAGGGCCACCACTGCCCAACGGCCTGAAGCCTGAGTTTGCCCTCGCACTGCCCCCAGAGCCACCCCCGGGGCCTGAGGCCAAGGGGGGCAGCTGCAGCCTGGAACATGGTGAGAGGGGCTCAGGGGCAGGGTGACCAGGGCCCCAGGGTACCGAGCGTGACCCCAGGCCAGCACCTGCCTTGGTGGGCCTATGTCCCCTTCTTTAAAATGGCCCAGCCAGGGCAGGACGAATGGGTTTTGTTTGGTCCGTGGCTCTTGTCCTGTGTCCCTGGGGCCCTGGGAGCTCTTTCCAGGGTGGGAGCATGTGAGGTCTGTGGCCTTCGGTGCACCTGCTGGCCCTGGGTCTGGCTGGGCAGGGCCAGGCCAGGCGAGCGCACCCCCCACGCCCACCTGACACGCTGCCGCCCACAGAGCTGCGCCGCCCCCAGGATGAGAAGAAGCTGGAGGAGATGCTTCTGGAGGCCAGTCAGGAGGCCACACAGGAGACACTGTGACACTGTAGGTGGGCGAGGACCTCCGGGAGCTGGGGAGGGCGACGGAGCCCTGCCCTGACTGCCCCGTCTCTGCTCCCCCAGTTCCTTTTTCCCGTTGGGTCTTCGATGAGCCGAGACCAGAGCCGTGAGAGCCTGCCCACCCCACCCGGCCTTCCCGAGACCAGGACACTGGGTGGGCACCCGAGGCCCCGCCCCGGCAACACTACCAGTGGTGCAGGAGCCGCGGAGGTGGCTCCCACCTGACTTCAGCACTTCTATTTATGTCTGCCACTCAGAGACTCGGGGCTGGGGTGGATGGGAAGAGGAGGAGGAGGTCTCCAGGGACATCAGGCCACAAGGCCACTCAGGAGTGTCCACTTGGCCAGGCCTGCCCTATTAAGGGCAGGAGTTCAGGGTGGTGGTGGGATGGCCCCCGTTGGTCCAGAACAGGACCAAGCGGTGGCACGGGAGGGGCGGTGAGCCGAGGTGATGGTGGTGGAAATTCCTAGAAGCCCCAGGTGGGGTGTGGGTGGGGCTGGGTGCAGAGGGTCAGAGCTTTCTCTTTCTTAAGTGCAATAAATCTATCAGGGAGCTGGGGCAGCGGCAGCATGGGTTCTGGGGACCTGCTGCCCAAGCCACTTGAGGCTGCGCCCTGGGAGGCACTACAAGCGTGGGTGGGTGGCGGGTGCGGGCAAGGCCGGTGGGGCTGGGAAGGCCCCTCCTGTCGGTGCAGCTCTGTTCACACCTTTTCTAATAAACTGGGGCTGGGTTCACCATTCGCCCCTCCGTCTGGCTTGACTGTGCGCCCCCTGCTGGGGTGAGCAGGGCTCCTGGTTACAGAGCAGCTGCTGGGTCAGGTGCCAGGGGTCCCCACTGAGGAAAACCAGGGGGCTGACAGGCCACAGCATGCCTTCCCACTCCACCCACCCCTTCCTGTGTGTTCCACGGGGGGCGCAGCGCAGCCCGCCCTGTCCAGCTAGGTGGTGTGCACCTTTCCTTTGGGGGAACAAGCCCCGAGTAGCCACCAGCTCTAGGTCTAGTCAGGGTGCTGCCTAAGGGGCTTGGGTGCAGAAGCCTCTGCCTGGTCACCAGTGGCTCAGAGAGCCTGCTCTTGTCACCTGTAGTGGGAAGAGCCTTGGCCACCCACCCTGTCCCCTCCCCTGCAGAGTGTGGGGTCCTGCATAGCCTGGGAGTCCTCTGCACTCTGGCTCCTGGGTGTCTGAGAACAGCATCTTTCCCCTTTAAACCACTGTGGGTTTGTGCTTGTTGCTCGAGTGTCCTCCCTGCTCCCTAGGACAATGGCGGGGCTCCCATTTGGGCTCAGGGAAACCATACACAACAGCTGCCACCAGTTTGTGTCTCTCATCTGTGCCTCAACAGCTGGGGATCAGTGGCACAGCCAGCCTGTCTCCACTCCTGAGTTCTGAACTTGTCATCCTTTCTGCTGTGGCCGTTTGGCGGGTGGGGAGAGAAGGAGGGGCCCCTCCAGGACGCCCTGGCTTCAGCACCTTCTGGGTGAGCCCAGAGATTTAGGGGTTTGTCCCCAGATGCTGAGAAGCAGGTCTTGCCTGGCTGGTCCAGTGTCCCCCAGTCCACCTAGTGCTCGAGATTCCCCACCTCTCAGGCCCATGGCCCTCCCCTTAGGCCTCTGCCTCCATCTCTAGGCCAGACGGGTGCGGCTCATCTGCCCCTGTGCCACCTGTGAGGGGCTAGGATCCTCTTCCTAGCCTTGTCCCTGTCCTTCCTTGCAATAACTTTGCTTAAGGTGAGGATGTGACCTTATCTGGAAATAGACTTTACCCCTAATCATGTTTCAGATGAGCTCACTAGGGCGGCCCTAAACCAGTGTGACTGCCGTCCTTTTAAAGGGGGAATCAGGGCTGATGTGGCTCAGTAGTAGAGCACCTGTCTGCTGCTCCCAGCCCTGGGCTCCACCCCAAGGCTGCTTAAAAACAAAAGCCTGGAGGTGCTCGCCTGTGATCCTGGGGAGGGGGAGGCCAAGCCAGGAGGGTTGCAGATTTGAGGCCAGCCTGGGCAATTTAGCAAGACCCTCCCTCAAAAAATAAGAATGGCTGGGAATGTAGTCACAGGTAGAGTGACCGGGGTTCAGTCCCCTGAACCAGAAAAAAGAATTTGGACACAAACACAGCCAACAGGGAGGACAGCATGTGGACAGGTTCCTACGAGCCATGGAGAAGGCGCGGGAGGATTCCTTCTTGATCCTAGCCTCTGTACCGAGACGATAATGTCCATGGGACTTTGTTATAGCAGCCCCAGGAAGTGAATGTCCCCAATTTTATAGGGCTCTTGATTTTCAGGAATCTCGAATCGTGGACTGGAGGCAAAGGGGATTCCCTTGGCCAAGTGCTTTCTCCCCCTTGCCCTCAGCCACCTGCAGGTTGCCCCACTGGGCCTGTCGAGGGAGTCTTTTCTAACCCTACACCAAAGTTTTGGTTTTTAGTGGTCAATGGACCTTTATTTTATTTATTTGTATGCGGTGCTGAGAGTCGAACTCGGTGCCTCACACATGCCAGGCAGGGACTCCGCCACTGAGCCACAACCCCAGCCCTATCTTAAAGACCAAATCTTAGGACCTTGATGGCTGTGACCTTTGTATCTACTGTCAGTTTGTGAGGGTTTGGAACCAGGCCACTGTTCACCCTCCCATGCACTTGGGAGCTCTGTTGTCCCCTGGGGCTTCAGGCATCCCTCCTTGGGTCAGATGGCTTACCCACTTCACCCTCTGCTGCAGCAGGACAGGCACCTGTGTCGCTTGTGCACCCTTACTGTGGTGACAGCCCCTTGGCCTTGCCTGTTGCCGGTGCCCACGAAAGTTGCACACACTAGAGGGCAGTGTGGATGTTGGTGGCAGAGCCATCACCACCACTCTGACATCCTGTTGTGGCACTCCTGGCCAAGGTCTTAAGATAAAGGAACAGTCTGGCCACTGCTGGGTGCCCATGACCCTGACTACAGCTTCTGACGGGCTGGGTCCTGGTTCTCCCAGCCCCCCAGCCTGGGACCCGCTTCCTACAGCCTCGTGCTCAGCCGTGGGAAGGGAGATGGGAGGGACAACTGGAGGGGGGTCACGAGGTCCTGTCTTCCCAGATGACTTTGTCCTTCGACAGGCTCTCCCCTACTGTCCTCACTCCAGCTTGGCCACACCTGGGCCGAGACCACGTCTCTGTGGCGGTCATGGGGCTCTGACCCGTGCCCACCCCTGCGGCAGTGGCTGTGGTTAGGAGAGGGAGCCAAGGCGTGTGAGGCCAGCACCCTCCCCGCAACCCAGGCCCGGTGGCCAGAGAATAGGCACCTTCACCGAGCCCTTCCTGGGGAACTGTCCTCAGCCCTCAGGCAGAGCTTTGGCATAAAGCCACGCCCTCAACCTCGGATCCCTAGCTTATTCAGTGCCAGTCCCTTTTGCCCCTCTCCCCAACTGGGCCGGGCCCCCCACAGGCCTTCGTGTGTGGCTGAATATTTGATGCATGAGGAATTGGGAACTGCCCAGAGAAGGACACCACTGTCCTAGTTCTCTGTCCCACTGCTGGAAGGTGCAGTTGGTGGCAATGGCAGTCTAGCTCACACTCCAGATACACCAAATGTCACTGATCCTGGTTTCCTTGTTCTCATCCAAGGGGCTGACAAGATGGCTTCTGTGTCAATGACCAGCTGGTGGTGGCCCTGGAGTGACCCATACAACAGGCACCTCCTGGACAGTTACTCAGCTGGGGCAGCTCTGTAGCCCACTCAGCTGCCTGAGTCCAATTAGCCCATTATGCTGGGGGCGGAGCAGCCTGCTGAGGTCACTAGGAGCACCACCCTCGGAAATGCCAGCTCCTGCCCTGCCCACAGAGGGCAGGCTAGGGCATGGGGACAGGGACCTGGGATCCCCGGAGGCCTGGGTGCCCTGCATTGCTTGAGTCAACTGGCATGTCTGTCCTTCATTCCCCCCACCTCTGCAGCCTCACCCACCGCCCCCGCAAGCCCTCCTGCCACCCAGGATGCTACCTTCTGTTGCCAGGATAGCTCAGAGGAGGAAATGGGCTGGGCAGGGCAGGGCAGGGCAGGCCTGGCCCCCAGTGCTTGCTGAGCAAGGAAGTTCAGGATGTGAAGCTCAACCCAGGCTCTCTATATCTTCATTTATTGCACTTGAGCCCTGCGTTTTTCACTGGTCCTTCTGTGTGCCCCAGACGCACACTGGCATACCGCCCCTCCTGGAGGCTACTGCCCACTACCCACTCTGGCTCCCAGAGACGCTTGGGGGATGTGGCCACTGAGGCTTCTTGGGCCCCGATCTCCCCCACAGGCCCTCATCAGGGCTGAGGGAGGAGCTGCTGCCTTCTGCGGCCCCTGGAGTGAATCATTCATGGTCCACGGGGGCTAGATCCCCCTGGAGTGGAGGGCAGTCAGGCCACCGGCCTTGGCTTGCCCCCGTGGGCTCTTTCCCGGGGTTGGTGGGCTTCACTGGCGTTCCCTGGATTCCGGCCTGCTGGAGACGACCCCGAGGCACTGTTGGCTCCGTTGATGGCGTGGGGAGCATCCCCAGCAGGGGACTTGGGCGGGGTGGGCGGCTTGAGTGCTTTGACAGCCCGGATGAGGCCCATGCGGCGGCGGATGGAGTGGTCCAGGTTGACGGTGCAGCGCAGCAGGCACTGCGCCTCGGCCACCGTGAAGGGGAAGTCGGCGCCCAGGAAGCGCTGAAAGAGCTCCGGGTCGCCGTCGAGGTCGAGCACGTTCTGCAACGCCTTGGTCATGGTGTGCAGCTCACGGCTGTTGTCGCAAAACACGTCCCAGAGGCGCGCGCGACCCTCGGGCGCTCCCCCGACCTGCTGCCGGTCCTCCAGGCACTGCAGCACCCAGCTGAGGCGGCAGGGCCACTGGTTGGCGAGCACCACCCACGCCACGGCCTGGCGCGGCGTGGGGCCCCCGTAGTCCGCCTGCTGCTGCTGCTGCTGCAGCAGCCGTACGGTGATGGGCACGGTGTTGACGATGCGCCGCATGGACACCACGTTGTCGGGCACGTATTCGTACAGACAGTCGCGCTCGTCGTGCAGGCAGAAGAGCGCCTCCTGGATGCGGCGCGCCGCCTCGGCGTCGATGCGGCCCTGCTCGCGCTCGGCGCCCGCCTGCGTCTCCACCGCCAGAAGCTGCACGCCCTCGCTGCCCTCGCCGGCGGGCGGCCGCAGCTTGCGCGTGATCTCGCGGAAGAGCAGGTCGTCGCGGCTCTGCACCGCATCGTGCAGGAACTGCAGCTTGGTGCGGCGGCCCATGATGGGCACCGAGAAGGGCAGCGTGACCGTGCGGTTAAGGAAGAGGTAGCCGTTGTCGGCCGTGCCCTTCATGTTGCCCGCGCTCTCGAGGCACGCGGCCAGGATGCTGGGGTCCACGACCAGGATAAAGATGAAGGGCGCGTGGCTATCAGACAGCAGCGTGTTGATGGCGTTGAGCACGCCCACCACGCGCTCGGGGTAGCACGTGTCCAGCCCGGTGACCTCAAGCACGACGCGCAGCCGGCGCCGCTGGTAGATCTCCAGGAAGCACAGGAAGTCGGTGAGCAGCTCCACCTCCTTCTTCACCTCGCACATGAAGCCCAGCTGGCTGCCGAACTTCTCCCGCGACACCAGCCGCTCGATTTTCTTGCGTTGGCTCACGAACATGTGCTTGCCCACCGAGTACACGGCCATGAGCAGCCCCGAGCCCGACAGCGTGGTGGCCGCGCCGCCGAACACCTTGAGCACGCTGCCGCTGGCACTGCCGTGGCCCAGCGCGTGGCCGCCCAGGGACAGGTAGAGCAGGCCCACGCCCAGGCAGAGCGCCGCCAGCAGCGCCAGCAGCGCCAGGAACACGCGGCGCCGGCAGTGCCACTCGCGGTGGCAGCAGCCCGACGTCGTGGCCGGCTTGTTGCCCAGCACCGAGTACACGCTGAAGGGCAGGGCGCCGTAGCGGTGGCGGATGCCCTCGCACAGCGTGGTCACGAGGCCGGCCCACAGCTTGTCCGAGCCGGCGTACTGCCAGGCGCTGAAGCGGATGAAGAGAAACTGCACGTTCTTGCGCCGCAGGTGCAGCTCGGTGATGATGGGCTGCAGGAACACCAGGTACCACAGCAGCCGCGGGAAGCCCCAGCCGCGCACCGGCCGCGGCCGCCACTGCACGCGCTGCAGCTCCTCGGCCTCGCGCTGCGCCGCCTCCTGCTGCATCAGCACTGCAGAGCGGGACGCCAGTAAGTGGCAGATTGGCGACGGGGGCGGGGCAGGCTGGGGAGGGGGCTGCACCGGGACGCGGGGACCGGGGGGCGGGACTTGAACTGAAGAACTGAGAGTCATGGAGAGGCCTGGACCTGGCTTGCACCAAAGGCGGCCAAGGGCAGAAGCAAAGCCTTCAGGAGAGTGGATGGGAGGAAGTGAGGAGAGCCAGGACCCGGCAAGAGGTGGGTGGCCCTTCTGGGGGTCCTGAAAAGGCTCTAAAAGGGCTGCCCAGGGACGGAAGGAACGACTGACGCCCTGGGGAAGAGAATGGGATGCAGTAGGGACAGTGCCAGTCTCCTTTCACTGTCCTGTTCCTCCTCCAAGGGGCCTCAGCCCTGGCTCCTCCAGGGAGCTCCTGACCCCAGGCTGGGTCAGGGTCATCTCTGTCCCTTGCTGGACTGTGAGGGCAAGGCCCTGATTATCTTGGTCACCACTGTGTCCCCTGGGCACAAGATGGTGCTGGGAAACCTGAAGAGCAGATGAGTCCAGGGCAGGTTCTGTCCGAGGCAGGGAGCGAGCACCTCCCACCTCACCTGGCCCAGGGCAGGAACTCCAGGCCCCTGCTGTGCTCCTGTGACCTCGCAGGGGCAGGGCTGGATAATCAGCACTAGAACTGCCACTGGGCACATGGTGGAGCGGCCGAGGCCTCTGGCCACACGGACTGGGGTCAGCTCCAGCAGGCTCTGGCAGCTGGCCAGCTTTCCACTGTGCCTTCAATGAACATCCCTCTGCTGGGTGTCCTGGGAGTGAGCACCAGGGCACAGGGACAGCAGGGCTGGCAGGAAGCTGCCACTTCAGTGAGGAGCCAGGTTTTCTCTCTAGGGTGCTGGGGAGCAAGGGAGGCTCCAGGGCAGGGGGGGCCAGTTTGTATTTTAGGAGTGGATTTGCTGGGCAGGAGGGGAAGCCAGGGAGGACAGTAGGCAGGGACCAGGGCAGAGGCTATGGGCATGGGAGCGATCACTGCTGAGTTATGGGTGGCCACCCGGGGCGGCTGATCTCACAGGTGAGTGGACCTTGGGGCAGCCTCGAACTAGGCAGAGGCCAGAGGCTTGGCTTCCTAACTCCCGCCCCACCCCCGGCCCAGGTCCTCACTGGTGATCTTGTCCAGCATCATGTGCAGCCGGCAGCCAAAGGGGGCGTAGAAACCCACAGTCACGGGGACGGGCACGTGGCAGAGAGTCTTGGCCAGGCAGCTGCAGTAGACGTCATCCTCTGTCAGGATGTCTGGGGGTCAGGTGGGGAAACTGAGTCAATGAGGCTGGCCCGGCACCACCCTCCCACCTCCCAGCTGTCCTTTCAAGCCTCACCCTTGGCCCTCCCTGCATGAGCAGCCCCTCCCTGCTTCCCCAGGTGATCCAAGTCAGCTGCTACAATGGAGGTCTCTGGGGTCACCGGAGCCTCCACCTCCAGTGACAGATGTGCTGTTTGGAGGATCTGACCCTGGACCCATCAGGCTGAGGCTGAGAAGCTGGACTCTCTCAGCCCCAGACCAGAGGCTTGTGGGAGTCTGGCTGTCCTAAGCTTCCGTTATCAGGCTTGCTGGACCCAGCTCATGGCTGCCCTCGGAGGATTCCATGGATCTGTCACAGGACATGAGGTCCTCGGAGGCTAAGACACGGCTTTCCAGCCTCCAAAGTCCCTGATGCAGGTTGGCTTCTGCCCACTGTTAGCCTGGCACCAGGGTGGGTGGGTGGGTTGGTGGATCCAGGGGACTACAGGTTCCTCTCAGCTTCCTGCCTACCCTTTACCCTGACCTCTCCCCTCTCCAGGACCCTATGCCCACAAGTCACCTAATCCCACCCGATCAGGCTTGGGAAAGAGGTGCCCGAGCAGGGTGCTGGTCCTGGCTCCTCGTTCTCAGCAGGACCGTAGAAGTGGGGCCCCTGAGAGGAGGAGTGCCAGGGAGTGTGGAAGCCAAAGGGTCTGGCCAGGTCCTTGGTCCCTGCCAGGTTTTTGGCCAATGCCACTGTCTGGAATGGTCATTTAGGACACAGAATCCTGGCCACCAAGCACCACAACAACCCTGCCCAACCCCTCAAGCCTTACTTCTTGGACCTGGAATTGGAGCACCAACATGGGGCTCCGATGGGCAGTGTCCCACCCACTTCCTGAGCCACCTGGTGGGCTGCAGGAGATGGCCTTGCCTAGTGGCAGAGCCAGGAGGGCAGCAGGAAGCCTCAGAACAAGGTTGGCTGAGGTGGCGGTGGCCAGGGCACACCTGGTCCAGTTCTCCCTAATCAATGGGTGACCTCACCTCACTCAGCCTCTATTTTCCTGTGTGTGAAATGGGCATCCTGGCCCCAAGGCTCCAGTAACAAGGTTGGGCCCAAACTAGACCTGAGTTCTTGTTCATCTTCTATTGAACCAGAGTGACTGTGTCCCCACCTCTGCTGCCAGGCCACCAGCACCTCCCGCCCACTCTTGCAGCCCCAAGGCACCTGCCACCCTCCCATGCAGCCCATTGTCCTGATGGGTCCTGAGTCAGCTCCTGTCCCTCCAAAGCTGCCTGTGGCTCCTGCCTCACTGGGGAAAGCCAGAGTGAAGCACTGGTCTCCTTCTGTCCCTGGAACAGGTACCCCAGGGCCTGGGCCTTGGTCGACCCTGCTGCACCAGTTCTGCTCAGATGCCTCCTAATGAGGCCCAGCCTTGGTGGCCTGTGTCCTCTGCAGACCCATCGCCCCTCCTCTCCCTGCTTTGTTTCTCTTTCATGTGGTGTCACCAGTGACAGGCTTTTGGACTTTCCCGTTTGTTTCCTGTGCCTCCCTCCTCCTCCAGTAGAACGGGCTCCATGAAGACACCCCTCGCCCGCTCCTGGGTCCCGCCCACCTCTCCCTGCTCGCTCCGCCCCCTCACTCCCCACCTCCTGCTGCAGCGCCACACGACCCCCTCCAGAGCTGGCCAACAAGCTGCCCATGTCACTGTTACCCCCTGCCCCATGTCCCCCGTGGCCTCCTGGGCCAGCGGAGAGGGCGCCAGGCAGAGAAAGCAGAGCCAGGGGTCAGCAGAGGGAGAGGGAGAGAGGCCTTGCTGCCCACCAGGACCGACACCGCGCACCCGACAGGCCAGGCAGAGGCAGCCACCTGCGGCCCGGGGCAGAGATGACGCCCCTTCTGCCAGGGCCAGAACGTGGGGGGAGGACAGCCAGAGCTAGCCAGGGAGCAGGAGGCCCAGGCAAGAAGGGAGGCAGGGACGGGAGGGTCCGGAGGCCTGGCTGAGCACCGGAGCCGAAGGTGAAGGAGCCGCAGGCGGCGGGCGCCGGTAGGGGCCGGGTCTCGGTGGGCTCGCTGGGCTCCAGGAGGGTGCGGGCTGCGGAGGGCAGGGCTGGGCCGCTGCTGGCCGAGGCGCGGGCTGCGGAGGGCGCTGCGGCGGGCGCAGGGGGCGGCTGCGGGGCGCCGGCTGGTCTCAAGGGGGCAGCGGCGGTTGGAGGCAGCCCCTTCTGCGCCCCGTGAACAGGGCAAAGGCGCTGGCGCAGGGGGCCTGGAGGCGGGGGCTGGGGCTGCCACTGCTGCAGGAGGCGGGGCTGGGGGCCCTGGCGCCGGCCACTGCCACCCCCTCGGTGGATGTGGTAGGCCTGCTGCCAGTGTGACCGGGGGCATGGCCGACCGGGCCCATGGGCTCGAGGGGCCGCTGGGTCTTGGCACCACTGCTGACAGCATCCTAGAAGGAAGGAAGTGGGGTGGTGCGCCCGACTCCCTGACCCGGGGTGACTCCCTGACCCAGGTGCCGGCTCCGACGGGGCGGTCTTGAGGGGAAGCCCTGGGGGGAGCGCCAGGGGCCCCAGACCAGAGACCTCGAGGAGGGGGTGTGGGGGCCAGCTAGGAGGCTGGGGCATGGGGGTCAGGGCTGGCGGGGTGACGACAGGATGCTTGTGCATCCCGGCACCCCGGATTCCTGCTGCCAGAAATCCTGGGCCTTAAGGAGTCCTCGGGGCAGGGCTCATGGGGAGTGCTGGGGGGACCCCACTGGGGGTGGCCTGGCAGGTCCAGGAGAGGCCAGAGTGCCTGGTGGTGGCCACTGAGAGGGGCTAGACCAGGGCCAGGAAAGGGGGCTGGGCAGTGTTCCAGGCTGGGGCAGTGCTGGCCAGGGAGGCTGGGGGCCTGCCTGGCCCTGAGAGGCTGAAGCAGCTCTGATGGGAGGTAACCGTCCCCTCCCCCCCTGGCAGGAGCACCTGCGGTCACCACTGGATGCTGAGTCCCCACCATGCAGAACAATAGATTGGGGCTCCCCCTCCCGACGTCTCCCCACAGCTAGCCCCCAGATTGGCTCTGTCCCTTGGAGCCTGGAGATATAAGGAGGGTCTCCCCTGCTCCTAGTGTAGGTGCCCACCCTTGGCCCCCTCACCCCTGCCGTACCCCCCAGGCCCCACGAAACTGAAGCCTCTACAGACCCAGGCTCAAGGTCAAGCCTGTAGTCCCAGCTCCTGGGGAGGCTGAGGCAGGAGGATCGCTTGAGCCCAGGAGCTGGAGAGCAGCCTGGGCACCACAGCGCACCCCGTCGTCTCCAACACACAGCAAAGAGCCTCTCCCGGGTGCTGGTGGCGCTCCCCCTGGGGCCTGAGTTCTCTTTCCGCTTGACCATCCACTCAGGGCCAGTCCCCCCATGCCCCCAACTGAATCCTTACCTTTTTGGTGACCCACCTCTGGATCCAAGAAGTAGCACTCACTGGGGCTCTGGCCACTCTTGGTGGAGTGGACCTTGTAGTGTTTGCTCATGGCAGGCCGTGACATTGGGGGCCTGCTCCTGGGCAGAAGGGACACCACAGGCTCAGTGTCCAGCACCCTGGGACCTGAGTGGCGGAGAGCTGAGGTTGCCATCCCAGCCCTGCCCGGGGACGGCTGCGTGTGATGGCCAGGTGAGAGGCTGGTCCTGTTCCTGGTCCCTGGGCAGGGGCAGCACTCCTCGGGGCATGAGGGATGGGCACGGCCACCAGGCAGGATGGAGGCCGCCCGGGTTGACGGGGTGCCGAGCAGAGGCGGGCTGGGCAGCAGGGTTGCCCACAAAGGGAACAAAGGCTGGGGCTGGGGAGGCCGATGCGGCTTGAGTTGGGGGGCGGCCAAGGCTCTGGGGCAGCGGATTCCACCGCTGGGTACAGTGGGGTTGAATGAGGGGATGGGAAATTCGGGGGGCTAAATTGCGCTGATCCAGTTTGGGGAGACTGGGCAGAGCCAGCCAGGAGGGACGTGTGGCTTTAAGGCATGAAGCGCCCGGGCAGAGCAGGAGGGATGCCGCATGGGGGGCCGTGGCAGGGGGAGCCAGGGAGCAGGGGTGGTGAGGGTCAGCAGCCAGGTGTGTGGCCCTGCCCACCACCTCCTTTGGTCTGGGGTCCCCAAACATACCTGGAGGTGGCCTTGTGGCCCCAGCTCCCAGCCCGTGGCCTGAGCTGCCGGGCCAGCCCCACGACTGTCGCGCAGGCCCAAGTGGAGCCCTGAGCTGCCCGCCCGCCAGACCGGTTTGCCTGCCTGTCCCCGCCCCTCCTGGCAGCCACCCATCCTGGTACTCTCTAGGACTGGGAGCCCCATCACTCCCACACTGTCCCCCAGGAGGATGGAGATGGACACCACAGCCCTCACACGGCCAAGCCACAGGGTCTCCCCAGCCCCGGGGCGCGCCTGCTGGGGCAGAAGCTGGGTCGGGGGTTGTCCTGGGAGAAGGCACGATCCAATTCAGTTGCCAACTCCTCCTTGGCCCAGCTGTGTGACCTTGGGCAAGTGACTTCACTCCTCTGAGCCTTGTCTTCCTCATTACTGAGTGGGCCCAGCTGGCGCCTGTCTCGAGAAGAATCAGGTAGGAGTCCACCTAGTCCAGGGCTGGGCCTTTAGCAAAGGCCCTAGCGCCACGTGTGGGGCACTGGCTGACCCACTTCTCAGCTGCTCCGTACACACCTGCCTTGACAGCCCCACATGCAGGGCATCCTGGGGCTGGCCACACTCCGCTTGTTTCTCCTCACCAGCGCCCGGGGCCTGCTGTGATGCCCACTTCACAGATGAGAAAACTGAGGCCCAAGACGGGCAGCCCCTTGCCCCAGGCCACACAGCAGCATGGCAGGTGGCCTGTGCACCCAGGCTCCCAAGGCTTGCTGGGCAAGAGTGACATGAGACTGTGGGGCCCTAGGTCCTCTAGGGACATCTCCCTGAGGTGGCTGGCGCCCAGGGTGATCAGTCACTTCCCTCAGAAGTGGCTGGGGTGGTCTGGTGGGAGGGAGCCCGCCGGGCCCTGCAGGGCGCTCCCTCTGGGGTTCTGACTGGGTGACCAGGGGGAGGCCTCCCTCCTGCTGCCTGCTGCTCTCTCTCTCCTCTGGCCCTTGGGCCCATTTGGGGAAGGCTTCCTGCCCTGTCTCCCACTCCCCAGGGCTCTGCCCTCCCCTGAAGCCCCTGGATGGCATGTGATGGGCATCTTTACAGGTTAACCTCAGGCCTCGGCAAGGACAGGGTGGCAGGGTTGGGGGTGAGCCGGGCAGGGTGGGGCCAAAGGGGCCTCTGACCACTCTAGAGATGGAGGCGACTTTTTAACAAAGGACTCTTCCCGGTCACAGTGCCGTCCAGCCCCAGCCTGCATCCCTGAGGCCCAGGTGCTCACAGGAGGCGGCTGGTGGTGGAGCCCAGGTCCACGTGTATGACACCCCAGATGTGACAAGTGCAAATGGGCACACTCCCTAGACAGTGCAGAGCAGCCGGGCTACCATCTCTGGGAGGATCCACGTCAGCCAGGCCAGTGAAGTGCACCCAGGCACTGGGTAGGGACGGGTGAGAGTGCCCAGCTTCCCCTCGCCCGTGCTCTGGACGCCCCCAGCCCTGTTCCCGGAGAGACGGCGTACTGTGCCCCGTTGGGCAGAGGACAGCCCGCACTGCTAGGGAGGCAGCAGGCCCGGGGGCGTGCAGGGAGGGCAGCAAGTCCAGGGGCTCAGCCCTCAGTACAGGCAGACGCGGGCAGAGGGGAGGGTCCCAGAGGTGGAGGAGCCGTCTGCGGCCCAGTGGGACCTGTGACAGTGCAGCACTGCAGCCCCCCCACCTTCCACTGAACCGAATGCCACATACAGAACTTTATTAACACCTGAGTGATGTCGCGCATATCCTGCCACCAGTCCTGACCAGTAGGACACATTGCCTCCAGCGCCCTGAGCTCCCGTTGAGCACGGGACACTGAGAACTGGAGTCCCGGCACTGACCCCAAGACCGCCCCCAGGGCAGCCACCCAAGGTCCTGGGCCGAGGTGCCCGCTGTCTCCAGAGGGGTGAAAACCAGGGGTGCTCTGCGGCTGGGCAGGGGTGACTGGGTCCTCAAGGTTTCTGGATCACCACCTGGAACTTACCTGGAAGGCAAAGGCCACCTTAGCCGGAGGCTGTGATCTGGGGGAGGCAGAGGGCAGCCAACAGCCCTGACACTCCCATGCCCTGTGAGGCAGCCTGGTGGCCCGGGTGGGGCCTTAGTTCACCAGCGAGCAGGTCACAGGGCACCGTGCTCCTGTCCTCCTGGCCCACATCCCAGGGCTGTGTGGGTGACAGGGCAGGGAGGCCTGGCACAGGCCTCTATGGCATGTCCATCTGCAGCCCTGCCCACCTGGGCCCCATTTCCCCATGAGTGACCTCCGAAACTGGAAGATGGGGAATAACTGGGGGGCGGGATGGCGAGGCAGCCTGGCAGCAGCTTCGGGGCAGGCTGCGCTCGCGCAGGGAGAAGGCTTCAGCTCCTCTCAGGGGCTCCATCCCAGCAGTACCCGGGCGTCAGGAGACACCTGTTGTGTGGGCTGCAACCGACGCCCATCTCGAAGCCACCCTCCTGCCCCCGTGAGCAGACCAACAAGGAGGACACCTGTCACGTCCCTGGGTTCCGTGTTTGGGAAGACATGCTCAAGATTACCAAGGGCTTCTCCCTGGGGCTGGGACTTCCCCAGGAGGCAGAGGCCTGGGCCCTCCCAGCGCCAGGGCATGGAGGGGCCTGAACAGGTGACTTAGGCTGAGCCCCAAATCCCACATCTGCGAGGGCCGGGGCCTGTCCTGGCCTCCCCAGTACCCACCGAACAAAGGATGAGGAGAACCCCCCCAACAAGACTCACAGGCGGGCAGGGCTGCCACGGAGGCGGTGACCAGGCTCTGGAAGCCCAGGGTATGGAGGGCGCCACACAGAAGGCCGCAGGTGAAGGCCAGGAACTGGGGCAGGGGACACAGACCATTGTGGGAGGAGGGGAGGCCAGCACCCAGGTCCTGGGCCTGGGATGCTCCCTAGGCCTGGGAAAGGGCCGCTAGGAGCAAGGGCGGGTAGACAGGTAAATGAAGGTGACAGTCCCAGCCCCCCATACCTTGGGGGCTTCCTCCAGATACTGCAGGCCTGAGGCCATCGGGACGAGGAGCGGGAAGCTGTTGTCCTGCAAGACGTAGGTCCCCTGGGAGCAGAAGAGAAGCTCATGGGCCCAGCCTGTCCACTGGCATTATGTGGAGAGGGAGGCAGGGCCCAGGACCCCACCTCACGGCTCTGTGGCTGGGAACCCCTCCTGCAGAGCTGTGGGGGGCCAAGGTCTGCCCGGCCAGGCCGCATGGCTTCCCGGGAAAGGAGCTCCTGCCTCCCAGGTGGCTGGGCCCGCATGGGTGTTCAGTAGGAAGGGAGCAGCGCGAGAAGAGCAGTGTGGTGCCAGGCCACCTGCTGCCAACCAGCAGGGCTGCATCCTGGGGGCTGGCGAAGTTCTGGAAATAGCCTGATGCCCCACCACAGCCCGGGCCTCCTCAGAGGACCACACAGACCCAGAGAAGAGGTGGCTGCCAGTGGCTCCTCCTGCCTCTGGGCCCTGGGCGGCCCCCACAGGCCCCTCTAGCCTTCCTACCAGGGCTCCCCCTCCGGGGCTCCAGCCTCTGCCTTCAGCCAGGCCAGCTGTGCTGGAGGTGCCAGGGAACAGGGCACACACCCACCTGGTGATTGGTGCGAAGGCCATCCATCTGCTTTTGGAACACGGCCACCCACAGGTCTTTGCACAGGAACTTGAGGACATCCAGCTCCTCCCTGAAGGCCGGAGTGTCTCGGGGCAGCCTGGAGGGCAGGGCAGGGGAGGGCAGGGCAGGGCAGGGCAGGGCAGGCTGGGGCCCAAGCTGATGCTAGCAGCAGGTGAGGAAGAGGGATGAAGCAAGGAGCAACTGACCTTGCCCTGGGCGAGGCTGCCAGAGGACCCAACCTGGGTCCTGCACACCCTCCCGGCCAGGGTAGGGGGGCAGGAAGGCGGGCTCTCACCTCTCACCCAGAGCCTGGCCCACGCGGAACCCCATGCTCTCCAGGACAGACGGGCATGTCTTCTGTCCCTAGAAGGCCAGGGAAGAAAGGTTCAGGGGGCCCTTGGTCACTTCCCAGCAGGAGCCAGCCAGGAGTGGCCACTGCAAGCAGACCCCAAGAGCAGGGCCCCTATCAGCCCAGGAGGAGGAAGAGGCGGAGGGGGGACTTCCTGCCAGCCTGCCCAGGGTACTGGAGGCCCTGGGGGCCACCTGGCTGGCCAGCCTTGCCCTCTGCCCAGGGCAGCCTGTGCCCCCCCAATTCCACAGACCCCATGGGCCTCAGGCTCAGCCTGCCGCCCCCAGGAGTCCACGTCTTCCCTAGGCAGGCACGACAACTCCTCGTAGATGGCACCCTCCACACACCTGGAGCCCCAAGGGGGCCTTACAACACTCGTGAGGAGGACCCCCAGGGGACTTTCCCAAGGGCCCATGTGGCCAAAGCCCTGGGCTGGGCCATCAGAAGGGAGACTGTGAGAGTCACTTAAGACTATCAGGCCTGAAGGAGCCAGCCAAGGTCCCTGGGAGGACATGTGAGGCTCCAGGAGGCAGAGGTGGCCAGGTGAGGACTGAGATGAGAGCGAAGGGGGTGGGGGGCAGCAGGAGCACTGCACAAGGACAGCGCACAGAATGGCTGGGGCTCGTTTTTATTTTTTCCTGAGATGGGATTTTGTGTGTATGTGTGTGTTGCTGGGGATTGAACCCAGGGCCTTGTGCATTCACGGAGAGCACTCCAGCCCCGAGATGGGATCTTGTTGCACTGCCAGGCTGGCCTTGAACCTCTGGGCAGTCCCCCCTCAGCCTCTCAGGCAGCTGGGATTACAAGCGTGCACTGCCACGCCCAGCCCCTCATTTGAGTTTAATAAGCCCATAAGGCCGGTTGTACTTCATACCTGCAAACGGGCTCCAAAGGGTTAAGAACCTGTCCCAGGCCCACTCAGCCACAGGGCTACCAAACCAAGCAGATGGGCTTCCAACAAGCCCAGATGGGCAGGCAGGATGCCACCCACAGCTGTGCTGCGTCAGGGAGATGGTGAGGCGAGGCCCACCGGGTGGGGAGCACTGGGAATGGGGCCTGAGCAAGGATTATCAGCACAGTGACACGTGGGTCCCTCTTGCACTGCCCGTGGCTTCAGCACCCAGGTTTAGATCTGCCCTACACTTACCAGACGTGGGAGCTGGGGCGATGGCCGAGTTCGTGAGCCTCGGTTTCCCCATGTAAGAGGAGGATAAGGCTAATGGCGTTACCTCCTGGGAGCCCCACGAGAAAAGGGATCAGTAAATGCCAGTCAGGTGCTTCAAGGAGGCTAAGTCAACCTCACCAACACCCCGTCCACAGCCTGCCAAGCGAGGTGACAGCACCATGGCTGGAGAAGAGCCACAAGAAGGAAGGGGCGCTCTCTCTTGGGGTCACCTATGCCAGCACCTAGCAAGGTCTGGCTGTCACTCCCCTGTGGTCTCCCATCCTCCTCCCATCCCTTCCACCCCGACAGGGCGAATCTCTGTCCCTGCTCACGAGGACTTCCCAGCATGGCAGGAAAACTGAGCTCTCCCCGTGGATCCCTCCATTTCTTGGGTGTCCTCCAGAAGCTCGTCTCCTGCGACTGGCCAGTGTGCAGGGTGAGCACAGCCAGCTCCACCAGGAGGGGCAGGAGCAGGCCAAGGGGGCTGCCATTCCCCATGGGCACCTGCAGCCAGCCCAGGGTTGAGGCCACAGGTGCTGCTCGATTGCCACATGCATGGGTAGCAAACTCAGCCCCTGCCCTGCGGGCCTGGCATCTGGCGGGGAGCACACAAGAGCTGGGAATGTAACGAATAACCCTTAGAAAGACTGTGCTGGATGACCTCCACCGGGCAGGGGGGACACCCTGAGGACACCCGACCGGTCTGTACTGTCTACAGCAGGAGGAGTGGGTGGCAGCCAGGACCACAGCCCCATAAGGTAAGAAGGGCCTGATGGGGCCAGAGAGCCTCCTGGTCCCCAGCCAGGCCAGGAGGGGAGGGGAGCCAGAGGGTTGCTGGCAAGTCCAAGTTCTCCTTCCGTGAACTTCAGTTTCCCTGGGTTGGAAATCCTGGCTCCACCACTTACAAGGTGTGAACTGGGGCAGGTTACCTGCTGGCCCATGCCTCAGTTTCCCCACATGTACAAAAGGACTCATGGAGGTGCCTACTTGCACATGGTGTCACAGATATTGTCACTGCTGGTCCCACTGTGCCTGGACCAAGACAGGGGCCAATTAAATATCTGCTGACCTGAAAAGACTGGCAGGTAGGGGTATGCGGAAGAAGGGCAAGCAAGAGGGGAACAGGAAGTGAGGCAAGGGGCAGAAAGGGCAGAGGAGGGGACAAACAGCTAACTGCCTCTGTCACAGCCTGCCTTCCCTGTCTGTCCTCTCACAGAAGGGACAAGGTGGGGACTCTCCCATTCACACAAACGGGCCAGAGCCCGGCCCAGAGTTGGTGCACTTTCTGTTCCTCTCAAACCACTGATGGGAAGGAGGTAATGCCAGGCAGGGGACACGGGCAAAGTCGGGATAGTACGAGGGCATCCTCAAGCAGCAGGGGAGTCGCTGTGGAAACAGTCCCCGCCAGAGAGGAGCTCTGGAAAGCAGCTGTCAAGTTCTCCTTTGGCCCCTGACTGTCCCTGTGCGGCCTCCAGAAGGGCCTTCCCCTCGAAAGTCCCAGACCTGCCTCTGTTCTTCCCTGTCTGCACCTTAAGGCCCCCAAGAGCTTCCTAAGCCTGCTGTCCAGGCCACTCCCACCAGTCCCATGGGAGGCTCTGGAAAGACCCCAGACTCAAAACCCCAGGGGCCTAGGCAGGGAACCGGGCCCAGGAGTCCCAGGCAAGGTCAAGTGCCCTGATAACCGGGGGTGAGTCAAGCTGAGTACAGCAGTGTTTCCCACACTTGTCTGACCACAGAACCCACTCGCACAGGTGAGAGTTATGGCCTGGTGCAAGCTGAGGAGAGGGAGCCTTCCTTGCCCAGCTCCACCCTGGAGAGCAAGAAACTCCCTCCCCTCAGCTCAGGCGCTACACCTACAGAGGGAGGGTCAGGTGGAGTGCGGGAGGCGGGTGATGAGGAGCTAGTGCAACCAGGACTGTCATGCCCAGGGCAGCATGTGCGACCCTCCTGCGGCGAGAGCCATGATGGGTTACAATGCTCAAAGGATCCAGGCCCGCTACCCCCTCCACAGCACTGGTCTGCATTCACTTCCGTGATAATCCACACTGAGGACCCACTATGTGATCCACACAGACCCGTCCCAGCTCATGTCGGGCACACAGTCTGGCACAGAAGCACAATTCAGATACAACCTTTCTGAGTGTGATGAAGCCAACCAGAGAGTGAGGAGGGGGCCCAGAATGTGTGAAGGAGACAAAAACTCGCCTGGGGGCTCAGGGAAGGCTTCCCTGAGGAGGAGCATTTGAAGGAAGATCTGACAGATTAATAGGTGTTAACTGAGAAGTAAGCAAAAGGGGAGTAGGGCAGTCCCACAGGGGCAGAGAGGAGGGAGCCTGGGCCAGGGCAAGGGAGTGGACAGACAGAAGGGAAACATACAACCAGGGCCTGGTAGAGGACTGGAGGCAGGGAGAAATGGCAGAGGTCAGGGCCCTGGATCTCTGGTTTGAAAGCCAGGAAGTGTGGGGTGCTGAGAGGCTGTTAACCCACTGACCAACTCACCAGCTGCCACGCTGCCAGGCTTTATCTTACAGCAGTTATGCAACCTACCACAGGCTTCACTCATCTCTTTCCATTTCAACAGACACTCCAGGAGCACAAGGATTTTTGTGTGGTTCACTAAGGAATCCCCAGAGCCTACAGAAAGGCATGGTACCTTGGAGGTCTTAGTAAAAAGTCTGACAAATGAATGAATAAACTCAGAAGAAACTACCCTGATAACAACCAGCAACACTCTCCCTGGGACTCCTAATGTGCAAAAGGAAACCTGAGCCAATAAAAATGTCTTGCATAGCTATGCATGGTGCCGGCACCTGTAGTCCCAGCTACTCAGGAGGCTGAGGCAAGTGGCAGGTTCTAGGCCAACTGGGCAATTTTAGGGAGAATCTGAGACCCTAGGTTCCATCCTCAATACTACAATAAATACATTCTTGCATGTGGTGATGACCATGATCACAAAACAATAGTGAAAAAGAGTGACCACCACCCCAATTATTAAGCACCTACACTCCGTGAAGCTCCATTTTTTCTCAATTACTGATTTCTTCTTCTTCATTTTTTTTTTTTTTTTTTTGGTGATGCTGCAAATAAAACCTCAGTACAGTACAAGGAAGGCAAGCCATATCCTCAGCATCCCCCAACAGCTTTACAGCAAAAGCTCTCATGTTTCATAGACTATGTGCTAGACATCATATTGAATGCTTTAAAGTTTTGCCAGGCGCAGTAGTGCACATCTGTAATCCCGCAGCTCAGGAGGCTGAGGCAGGAGGATCAAAAGTTCAAAGCCAGTCTCTTAATGAGATACTATCTCAAAAACAAAATTTTAAAAAAAAATTAAAAGCCGGGGGTGTAGCTCAGTGGTAAGGCACCCCTGGGTTCAATCCCCAGTACCAAAAAAAAAAAAAGTTTTAATTCATTTAGTCTTCACAAGGACTAACTTCCAAAATGTCAAACGTGCTTCCTCTTTGGAGCTTCGCGCTCCTCCTTTCCTTCCTGGACTGATCTTACCAACCCACCCCCGCTAATTCCCCAGATTTGGTGCCTCCTTTTCCTTCCCTTCTTCAGGCTAGCCCCCATCATCCACCACGCACCCCTCCTCTTTCTTCCTGGACTCTCCTGAAGTTTTCTTTATAGTACTTCTCAACAGCTAGTGACACGTTTTATTATTTGATTCCTCTACTAAAACCTAAGTTTCATGAAGATCGGCATTTTGATTTAGTGCTTGTGGGGTGAATAAATGTCCCTCCTACTCTGTGACTTAGATATTGCTGGAGGCTCTTCGTGCAAAGGAAGAAACTGAGGAACAAAAAGATTAAGTCACTGGACTGCATGCCTGGGGAGGGGTGGAGGCGAGTCCTCACCCTGGGTACACGCCCAATAACAATTATTATAATTGCTAACCGCTTACTCTATGCCAGACATTGAACTAAGTGCTTTACCCTGAGTCATCTGGTTCACTTCTACCAATAACCCGCGAGGGAGGCACCGTCGCGACCCCCCACAACCCAAAGCCTGCTCCGAAGCAGGGGCGGGGCCAGAGGTTCGAACTCGGCGGCAGACACCGAAGGCACGCGCCCTCCGTGCGCCCCGAGGCCTGCACACCGTCTTCCCGTCGCGGTCGGCGTCTCCTCCCCCAAGACCCCGCGCTCACCCCCGAGCCTGGGTCGGGGTCGGGAGTCCAGAGCTCCGCCACCATCTCGGTGTGCAGAAATTCAAACAACACTGCATCCGCCATGCGTCAGCCTCGCGCGCCCAACTACCACCGCAACTCCAGCCCTTATTGGCCGGACTGGGCAAGCCTCGCCTCCCTCGTTCCGATAGATCCCGCCCACCGCATTCCCATTGGTGTTTAGGCTGGCCCCGCCTCCCCGCGGCGGGCTCACGCGAGGAGCGCGGCAGCGGCGAGACATGGGGCGGCGTTGCTCTGCCTCTCATTGGCCACACCTGACACCATCTTCCGCCTTTATTTGGACTCCTGCCCTTGTTCCATTGGCCGAATGCCGGATTGCACGTGACATTCTTGTTTTTTAAAAAAGCCCTATTTGTCCGCTCTAGGCTTTCCTCGAAGCACAACACGGAAGAGCCTGTGCGACCGCTCCCTATTGGCCGTGCCTTCGTTCACGTGACTCTGCTGCGCACACGCCCTCAAAGATGGTGCTGGGAACTGGTTTCCTGGTTGGTAGAGAACGACCCCTCGTGACTTGGCCGTCAAATGCCCGCCCAACCCACTCTCTTATTGGTCGGGACTTTAGCCCTCTGTGACGCCGCACTTCCGCCCGATAGGGGATCCCGCGGGCTCGGAGCTCCTGTGACCTGGTATGGCTTTGGGCGATTGTGCTGACCCTTCACCCCCTCCTCGGGTTAGTGTACCGATCCCAGTCCCCTGGACTACCCCCTTTTATGACTGTCACTGGTTCCTCAGCCACTCATGAGCCCGCGTGCCTTCGGGTCTGAGGCCTGAAGGACTCACCGCCTCTGTTTGGAGGCGAATTCCGGAAGAACTGTTTAGAACTCTAGGAACCGGCCCTAGAGCCGTAATCGAGCTCGGCCTCAGTTTCCCATCTGTACACTGAAGAGGTTGGGGTCCGTTGCCCCCGTCACCTTCCAGGTAACGGAAGAGGAAACTGAGGCCGCGACAAAGGAAGCATTTGTCCCTAAATCATTAGGAGAAGCAGCAAAGGGACTAGGATTCCAGGTTATGCCCTTTCCACGCAGGGGTGCCTCTCACGCGGTGTCTTCGCTTCTCTTTCCTAGCGCCGCGCCATGGCATCCCATGGTCGTCGGCGGAGGCCCGGGACCGTGGTTCCTGGGGAGGCGGCTGAGACGGACTCGGAGCTCTCTGCGTCCTCGTCGGAGGAGGAGTTGTACCTGGGCCCCTCCGGCCCGTCGCGCGGCCGACCCACGGGGCTGAAGGTAGCCGGGGAGGCTGCAGAGACCGACTCGGACCCGGAGCCGGAGCCTACTGCCGCGCCGAGGGACCTGCCTCCGCTTGTGGTGCAGCGGGACTCGGCAGGGGAGGCCTGGGCCGCCGAGGAAGCCCCGGCACCTGCCCCCGCGCGCTCCCTGCTACAGCAGCGGCTGGCCGAGAGCCAAGCGCGGCTGGACCACGATGTGGCCGCTGCTGTGAGCGGCGTGTACCGCCGTGCGGGCAGGGACGTGGCCGCCTTGGCTGGGAGACTGGCAGCCGCTCAGGCGACGGGGTTGGCGGCAGCCCACAGCGTGCGTCTGGCGCGCGGGGACCTCTGCGCCCTTGCTGAGCGTTTGGACATCGTGGCTAGCTGCTGTCTGCTGCCGGACATCCGCGGTGTGCCGGGAAGCGAGCCCGAGCAAGACCCGGGACCTCGGGCCTGAGACTCGACTTCCCTACCTGACTGCCTCTTGGGGGTAGGCTTGGCAGCTTTTGTGACATGGCTGTGTCCCAGTACTCTTGTCTTCCTTTCCGCATCCTAGGGCTAAACCTGCCCCCGCTGGATAACGCCCTGGTTTTGCCTCATGGCCCTGACTCTGGCCTCTGGTAAATAGCTGCTCTGTGGTGGTCTATTTCCACCCTGTCTCCTGGCTCCTCCTCCTCCTCGGGCTTGGCTCCACCCCTTCATCCCGATCTCATCTCCAGAGTCCAGCCATACCCTTAGGATAGGTTTTGTTTCCTTTTGTTTTTCCTGTCCTGCTTACATTAGTTACCTGGTCCTGGAGTTCATGTACTGACTAGTTTCCTTCCTCAGGCCCAAAATGATGCCCCCTCCTGACCCAAAGGGATCCTCCTGCACCAGATCCCCTGGCACGTGGCATCTCCTCCAGACCCAGGAACTCTAGGCCAAGGTGGTGCCCCCTCCTAACTCTCTAGACCTGAAGTGACACCCTTCAGGCACTTGGGCTCACTTCAGCCCACCGTGGTGCTTTTGGTGCAGTAGGGTCCCACTTTTCGCAGGTGTGCTCTCTGTTGGTCCCTGGGTGCTGAAAGGCTGTGGATTTCTGGCCCAGCTCCTGGGCTGGGGTAGCAGCCTCTGTGTGCAGTCTGCTTCCTCTTTCAGGCCTGCCTTTGTCCTCAGCACAGTCACATTTACACCCTTCCCCGAAGCCGTACTCCAAGATCTGAGCCCCAGGATGGAAAGGTGAGGAAGAGCTCTCTATGGTGGACTCATTAAAATCCAAAACATTTCCCAACTTGCTCAGTTTCTCTTCCCCACCCCCCCAGTATGGACTGGGTGAGTTGGTGATTTCTCTGAGTTGAGGCCCCCTCTCTAGCCTATTGAAGGTGAAACTGTATTTGGGTTTTTCCTTGATTTTGCATTTATTTGTATTTAATTAATTCAACATACACTTTGGGGTTCTTGAGCTGGGGGTTGCAACAAGCAGTCCCTGACAATATGGGAGACTTACAATATTGTATAAATAACTGGAGGAACCATAACTTATTGTTCAGTTCTTTTGTTTTCTTTTTTTCCTGGCATGCTTAGAGCTCTAAAGAAAGAGCAGTGTGGTAAAGGTTTGCTGGCCTCTGCACATCCTGGTCTGGGGAGGAGTGGTCATTTAGCTTCTCAGAGGAAGTGACCTTGATGTCTGAGCTGAGCCCTGGAGGTGTCCATAAGTGACCTGGGAGTAGAATGGAGAGGAATGCAGACAGCATGTGCAGAGCCCTGAGTCAAAAAGGGCGTGTTAACTTTCCTACACTGACAAAATCCCCAAGACCATCAACCTGAGATAAGGAGGATAGGTTTGTTTCAGAGATTCCAGTCCAAGGCTGCTAGGCCTATTGCCTTGGGCCTGTTGCAAGGTACATCACATGGGGAGCCCCTGGGGAAGGGAATTGCTGAATTCAGCTCACCACCACACCCTGCCAGTGGGAGATGCTTGAACCCAAAGGCTTCCGTGGGGCTTTAAAGAGCCTAGCTATCTGGATATGGTGGTGCACACCTATAACCCCAGCTACTTGGGAGGCTGAGGCAGGAGGATCACAAGTTTGAGGCCAACTTGGAAAACTTGGTAAGACCATATTTCAAAAAAATTAAAAGGACTGAGGATGGCTCAGTGGTAGAGCACCCAAGTGTTCCATCCCCAATATTAAAAAAAAAAAAATCTGATCTGTAGCACCTACTGAGGTATTAGAGGGAAGAGAGGGGGTATAGAGGTGAATGTGGCACCAGCAAGAGCCAGGAAGGTAGGCTTCTAAGCCAGGCAGGAATTCTTGCTCTTCACTTAGCAACCAGTAAGCAGAGAATCAACCAGCATCTTCAGCCAAGCTCAGAAGAGAAGGGGCAGTCGATTTCCTGAGCTAGAAGTGCAGAGGTAGCTCAGCTCACACTTATCCTGACAGCATTTGTCAATACTGAGACCCAGGCTCTTGGATTACCATAGCTTCCAGGCTTGCTGTTTGAAGAAAGAAAGAAAGGATTTACCTTTTCAGAATGGTCCAGAAAACTGCAAGAAAGAAAGGAAGGAAGGATTTACCCTTTCAGAATGGTCCAGAAAACTGCATTTATAAAGCATCTCTGGCTCAAACTAGGGAGTCAACATTCAGCTCAGACTGTGTAGCAGCAAAAGGACAGTTGGGTTTCAGCTCAGCCGAAACCTGCGGGAGGATAGGATGGTGAATGAGCAGGGCTGTGAGCTATGTCCTTGGATTTATCCTTGGAGAGATGGTCAAAGACTGAATCAGGAATAACACAAGATGCTGAGAAATTCCTGGGGAGACAGAGGGACTCTCCCATACAGTATTCTAATTTTTATTGCTTTGTAACAAATGCCCTAAAACTTAAAGGCTTAAACAGTTGTTCTGTTACACCCAAAGATTCCGTGGGTTGGGGGCTGGGTGTGGTGGTGCAGTCCTGTGATCTCAGTTACTCAGGAGGCTGAGGCAGGAGGATCACAAGTTTGAGGTCAGCCTCAGCAACTTAGACCTTGTCAAAAAAAAAAAGGGCTGGGGATGTAGCTTGATAATAAGAGTGCTTCCCTGTGACTTGTGAGGTCCTGGGTTCAGCACCACACAAGAAAAAAAAAATATCCATGTGTTAAGAATTGCAGCAGGGCCCAGCTGGAGGGTCTCCTGCTCCGAGGAGGAAGGGCCAGGTAGACTCTCCTACGGCCGATTCTGTAGAGGTCGTGTTAGCCTGTGGTAGTCACCTAGTGCGTGGATTGGCCTGCAGAGTCCCAGGCAGTCGCACTTGGTAGCTGGGCTGGACTAAAAGAGCAGGCCATTGACTAAAAGAGTAGGCCAAGTGTGTGCACGTGGTCCCTGGAACTGGCTGTTTGGCTTGGGCTCATCATGAGAGGCTTGGGCGGCCTCACCTGGCTGCTGGGAACCATCCCTCTGCGAGCTCAGGGCTCCACGGTTGTTTACCTGGCAAACCAAGCAGATGTGGCCATTTCTGACCTAGATTCCAGAGTCCTGCAGCTGCACTGAATTCTATTCATTGGTAAGTCACTTAGTTCACCCAAGATCCAAGGACAGCTCTTAATGGGAGTCAGAACTGAGAGACTGTTCATCAACAATGGAGCAAAGGAAACAACCCAAGTCCGGCTCTCTTGGACCAGGTTCTGGTTGTCGAGAAGGTGCCTGAAGGAACACCGATGTCCATGTCGGGTCTCCCAGGGAAAGAAGTGATTATGGGTGGGCCGGGAAGAGGGGTGTTTGTGATGAGGAAGACGTCTGAAGAGATGACCCCCCCAACAGGATTTGCTCACAGGGGGAGGGAGAACCACGGGGAAGTACCAGGAGATGGGCTTCCTGACACAGAAATACAGAGGCAGCTGGAGGAGTGGGGGGGCGTTTCCCAGGTAGCAGCAAGGAAGCCACTGTGGTCTGAACA